CTCTCTCTCTCTCTCTCTCTCTCTCTCTCTCACACACACACACACACACACACACACACACACACACCAAGGGGGTCCGAAAGGTATATATGACAATCTAGCTAAGCATTGGCGCTTCGATTCTGCTATGTGATAGTAATTGGCGAGACCGCGGAGAAGTCCGGAGATACGTGACACAAAGTTTCTCTGCGGGTTCAGGGGTTTCCTTGGATTTGCGAAAAGCAGCACCCTACGATGTTTATGACAAAGTTGAATTTGATGTACCCGTAGGTACACGAGGAGATTGTTATGATCGTTATTGTGTCCGCATTGAAGAAATGCGACAAGGGTCCAAAAGGGGGGCTGAAATCCCCCGACAGGTGAGTGCGCTGGGGGGGGCCGATTCCCAACTGGGTGCCCTGCCCGGCCAGGCCGCCCGGGACCTCCCCCGAGCCCCTGCCGGTCACCTGGGCGGCCCGGATCCCCACTCAGCTTTATTCAGACCCAACACCCAGAGTCCAGGTCAATAGGATCGTACCGGAGACCTACCCGATATCAAGATCGGTCAGACAAGGCGACCCTTCGGCTCCACCCATATTCCTCTTCATTATGGAAGCCATAGCTTCCTTCGTTTGGAAAGACCCATCCATCGACGCCGTACAAAACGCAACTTCAATCCATTACATGACTTCGCTGTACCTGCTGCACCAATGTACGCCAATGACCTTACTGTCCTCATTCGCGCCAATAACTGTTCTTTCCAAGCCCTCGTAAGAGCAATGGAAGCCTTCAAACTGGCATTAGAAATGAAGGTCAATAATGGCAAAACTGAAGGTTGGCGGCTAACAGACGGCAACCCTCCCCGACTACGTGAGATCAAGCACTATGTTTCTTCGTTATCATGGTTAACAAGGACGGGGTGTGGCCAGGAATGGGTCAGAACCTGGTTGCCTGGGCAATCACCCACTTGCCCCATGCAAAAATGCTCATGCTTCATTAATCGGACGAGCCCTACTAATTAACACGACAATCTTCTCCACACTGTGGTACATGGCATCCATCTGGTCTCCCCCTAACGACGACCTCAAGACGTAAGAACATGGCGAGATGTTATCTATTGACAGGAGATCCCAATAGGACCACATGTATCAACAGGGTAGCCAGCAACCACATCATTAGGAAACCACAGGAGGGGGGCCTTGGGCTAATTGACCCCAAATAGGAGTCCATAGCAATGCATATGAAATGGATTATCAAGATCCTGATTAGACAATTCATTCCATGGACCAAGATGGCTCTAGTTGGCATCAGAAACCTGGCACCTATCAATTTCCCCCCGAATATAAGAGGCCTCTTCTGGTTAATGGCGAAGGACTGGATAATCAAATCACACAGACCTCGCAAAAGAAACCCAGCAGAGCCTATCACAACCCCCACCCGCACAACTATCTCATACTGGAGCCCTACCATCAAACCCTGGCACAGAATGTTGCCAAGCAAACACGGTACACCAGGACACAGAGAAGAGGTCTTGAGACAACCTCTCTTCTGCAACCCTTGGATCACAGACACTAGCGAAGTGTCATGGGCTGTCCTGGGTGGAAAAAGGGGTGTGGCAGGTGAAACACATTTGGGCAGAAGATCAAGGACGATGGTCTACAGAACAGGAGCTCCGAAATGATTTAAAAGGCTGCCACTCCCTTATTGAAAACCTAACCTTGATTCAGAAGAGCATTCCAACGCAGTGGCTCTCCCTCCTAAGGGAGGATTTTTTGTGGAAGTCCGGGGATTGGGGCATACTCATCTCCCAAACCCAGCCTACCAGAGCATATCGGTTTGTCGCTCGAATCGATCCACTGAGCTACTTATCCAAATGCTACTCATACCCCATCGCTAATCACAACCTACAACAATGTACATAATAGCCAAGGATCCGCAATGTGATGAAAAGGACTGAATGGACAATGCAGTGCAAGTGAAATCTCAATGAGCAGTGTACATTCTGATACATACAAAATTGTGCTTTACAGCGCAGTGGAAGACTTAGATACAAGTCCTGACCTGACCGGAACTGACCTCCCTCACGTAGTACAAGATAGCAAAGCAGAATGCTAGAATACTAATGACTAGCCCAATCAATGTTGCAACGCAGACCAAACATACATCATGCTCATCACAAGGTGTGAAGGGGCCTGGCGCTATACAGAGGAAGGAAGCGCCAGGTCGAGACATACACAGACTAAGAGGAGGGGATCAGACGAAGAAGAGGGGGAGAGATGGGAATGTCGTCAACACCAAGTCTTTGTCACAAGTCCCAAACAATCCCTCGTCAAAATGTCTGAAGCCCAAAAGTTGAGTCTGGGTCCAATGTCACCAAGCTCTCTCTCTCTTTCTCTCGTAGTCTGCTGATGCAGTGAAGTGAGATAGTGAGAGGGTGAGAGGGAGATGGTGGAATGAGAAGAGGAAGAAGAAGAACTCTCTCTCTCTCTCGTATGCCAGGTACTAACCTGTGAAGATGGCGTTGTGCTGCAGGTACCTCAAAGACGAAGTTGGAGCAGTGGCGCTGCAGGTAAGTATCCCCGGCCTCCGCCCAACCTCTCTCTCTCTCTAGTACTACTCTAGCTATGGCGCCCAACGCTGAAGACTACAACTAACGCTACTAGCGCCCAACGCCGAAGACTAATGCTAACACTACTACTACTCCTGCAGCGCTCCTCCCGAGTGCTGCTGCCTAATCCTGAAGACTACTGACTGCCTCCTGCCTGCCCGTGAAGTGCATGTGAAGTCCCTATGTACTACCTCGGCCTGCCTCCTGACTGCCTCCGATTGCCTGCAGTTGGAGGGCGGGCAGTCCAGGAGGCTGCTCTTGCCAATGCCAAGCTGAGCCAGGTGCTGGCGCTGCAGCTGTCGTGGGAACAAGCCAAAAATAGGCTGTTCCTAAAACCCTGGTTTGGTGCCTGAGTTTCGGGGCAGGTCGGTCTGATGAGGGCCCGAAAATGGCCCTCAGTTTCAGGCTAAAAAGGCTCATGCCGTTTTTAGTTTGAAATGACACAGGGCCTGTAGGCCCCTGTTTCCAGCTTTTCGAGCTGAACAGACACGGGGCCTGTAGGCCCTAAATTTCAGGCTTTCGGCCTGAAATTGCAGGCTTTCGGCCTGAAATTCAGGCTTTTAGCCTGAAGGACGCAGGGCCTGGAAAATGGCCCTCCTGTGCAGGCGCAGCATGAACCACCCCTCCTCCTTATGAAGCCAAGCCGGGGCGAGGGCGAAACTGACGATCTGAAGGTGGAACGTGGATGCGGGTGCGACGTGGAGCCGAAGATACCGGCTTGCCTTACATCTTTCGTTCGTAGCGTGCGAGAACATCCGGAGCTGTGGCTTGGAGTTCCGCACGTGTTAACCAACGGTCAGCTTTGTGACTGTAGTACGCAAAATGTACCAAGTACTCGGTTGGCCTGTTGTCGTAGCGTCGCTGGGAGATGATGTCGCCGACCTCTTGAAAACCGTCCCTAGAGGGTGGGTCTTGCGATCGTCGCCCGAGAAACTCGTCATGTTCCGCTGGCGTGTAAAGAGCCAACTTGGAGCAATGAAAGACCGGGTAGACGGGCAAGTGGGCGGGCACCTGAATGGTGAAGGAAGGTCCCTCGGGTGCATCCCCAGCGGGTGCCACGATCGGGCAAGGCCCCATCCATTTCGGGAGGAGCTTGCGCGAGATATCTTGTTCAAGGCTGAATTCCGCAGCGGAAACCCAAACGAGATCGCCGACGTGGAATTGGCAAGGAAGACGCCGACGATTGGCCTGTTGGCTCATGCGTTGCTGCGTCTTGGCCATCTGGTTGCGTGCCTTGACAAGTAGCTCTTGCATCCGACGCAAGAAAAAAAGATGGTCGTCGCTCTCGGCCGTTCGTGGAATGATTGTGTCCAATGGAGAAGTGACTGGCGAGCCGTGCTCGAACTCGAAGGGCGACATCCCGATAGCTGGGTGGATGGACGAGTTGTATGCCAACTCGGCATCCGGCAGCCGCTCAACCCAATCCTTTTGGTCGGGACGGATGAGAGTGCGAAGGAGAACCAGTGCGGTGTGATGCGCCCTCTCCGTTTGGCCATCGGTTTGGGGGTGGCGAGCCGAACTTGGCTTGAGAGATGAGCCCCATCGTTTGATGAGCACCAACCAAAAATCGGACATGAACCGAGTGTCGCGGTCGCAAACGATTTCCTTGGGGTAACCCTTGGTTCGAATCCAACCGGCGTAAAGAACCTCGGCCAACTCCGGTGCCTTGGCATGAAAGCGGCAAGGCAAAAACATGGCGAACTTGGTGAGTCGGTCGACCACCGTGAGAATCCCATCCACTCCGGTCTTGTGCTTGGGGAACGGGCCGGTAATGTTCATGGCTAGCGCTTCCCTTCGCCGCAAGGGGACCGGTAACGGTCGCAACTCGCCGTACGGACAATGATTGCGGGATTTGCAGCGTCGGCAAACCTCGCATGACTCGCAATAGCGTGTGACATCGTCGAAAAGACCGGGCCATCAAAAGCGCTCGCGGAGTCGGCCAATCGTATGATTGACTCCAAAGTGTCCGGTGGTGGGAGCGTCGTGGAACTCGCCAAGAAGCCGTGTGCGCAAGTGTAAATCTCTCGGCATACAAAGAAGTTCCTTCCCTCGCGAGTGAACGAGGAAGTACCCCTCTTAGATCCGATAGTGCGATGGCGCCCGATTAGGAGAGGAGCAATTTGCGTACTTGTCACAAAACTCGGGGTCGACTTGGTAGCCGTGGATGAAGCTGTCCCGCAAGTCGTCGTTAATCTCAAAAGTTGAGTAGACCGCGGTACAATGGTCTGGACGCCGTGAGAGAGCATCCACAAAACGATTTGACTTGCCTGGAATGTGGTCGGGGAAAAAGTCAAACTGGTCGATGAAGGCCATCCAATGGGCAATGGTGTTATTGACCGTGTCTTGGGTCTTGTAAAAGACCAATGGATTGTTATCCGTTACCCATCGGAACTGCCGTCGACCGAGAAGAAAATGCCGCCAGTGCTTGAGCGTGTGTACAAAGGCCAATAATTCCTTCTTCCGTGCGTCGTCAATCGAGCGCACAACGGGCACTTTCTTGCTAAAGTACTCAATCGGGTGCCAGTCCACACCGTCATGTTGCTTGAGGACGACACCAATGCCATAGCCAGACGCATCGGTAGTGACACGTGTCGGCAAAAGCGGATCGTAGATGCGCAACACCTCCGCGGATAGCAACGAGGCTTTGAGAGCCAAAAATGAAGTCCGCGCATGGTCGTCGAAGTCGAATGGCCGGTCCTCGCATTGAAGCTTGGATAAAGGAGCCGCGATCTTCGAGTATTTCTTGATGAAGCGTTGATAGTAGCCGGCTAAGCCAAGGAAGAAACGGACATTTGTGACGGTCTTCGGCTCCGGCCACTCTTGGATGGCTTGAATCTTGTCCGACAACGGACTGATGCCCTCCGGTGTGACAAAATGGCCCAAGTATTCCAACTCTTGCCAGACAAATACGCACTTGTCGCGGTTGGCTTTGTACTTGGTGCGGCGGAGCTTCTCCAATACTCATCGAAGGTGCTCAAGATGATCCTCCAATGTCCGGCTATAGAGGAGGATATCGTCTAAGTAGACTAGTATGAACCGGTCCAGCATCGCACGGAACTCGTTGGTCATTGCCGCTTGAAAGGTCGCCGGGGCATTGGTGAGGCCAAAAGGCATAACGATCCACTCAAAATGCCCGTACCGCGTCTTGAACGCGGATTTGTAGCAATCTTGCAGGCGTATTGAGATTTGATGGTAGCCAGACTTCAAGTCCGACTTTGAGAAGAATTCCGCGCCGCCCAAACGCTCGAGAAGGTCGTCAATCCGCGGAAGAGGTCCCGCATTCTTGACGGTTTGTGCGTTGAGCTTGCTGTAGTCGATGCACAAGCGAAGATCCTTGTTCTTCTTCCGTACGAAGAGAACTGGCGCACCGTACGGTGAGGTACTAGGGCGGATCCAACCCTTGTCCAAAAGATCGTCGAGTTGAGCACGGAGAACCTCGAGCTCTTCCTCGCTCATGCGATAGATGCATCCTTTCGGCGGCACGACACCGGCCTCAAGAATGATCTCGTGGGAGATCGGTCGATCCGGCACCACACCGGTAGGAGACTCGAAGATGTCGGTGAACTCGTCGAGCAGCCGCACCACTCGGGGGTCCGAAGACAAGTCCGTAGGTGCAGATTCGGTCGTCGTGGCGGCTCGTAGAAAACATAGGCCTATCTCGTCGGTCCGCTCGTAAGCGCAAGCGGCCCAAAAAGACTTGGCCGTTACAACTTGGCACCGGATCGAGGAGTGCGGAAGAGGAATGGTACACGGCACCTCGGCGCCGAAGGCGTCGCGAACGGTAAGTGTCCGCTGATGAAAGTTAACCGTGTGATCCGCACTTGCAAGCCAAGGCATCCCCAATATAATGTCGAAGTCCGTGTCTAAGATGTCAAACGTCACCGGTTTGCAGGCATGAGGTGCGAAATAAACAGGCACGGCTTCAATGTAGCGATCGAGGAGTTGTTGCATCCAACAGTCCGCCAACTTGATCGCTGTCGGGTTTGGCTTCCTTCGAACTTGTGCGCCAAGGACGACCCTTTGGATAAAGGACTGGCTGATGAAATTGCGAGTCGCACCGCTATCCAGCAAAGCGTTGCAGGACGCTTGCCCAACTTGGATGCGGACATAAAGGAGCGGTGCGTTGTTATCATCATACCGCTGCATGCGAAACTCGCGGGCCACCTTGGTAACATACGCTAGGATGTCCCCCACCACAGCTTCGTCATCCGTCGGCGAAGATGGTGGTGCATAGAAGGCTAAGTATGTGTGGAGATGGGCGCATAGTGCTGCGCATTGCGGTCCCGACAAGCAGTTGTGGAAGGGAGAGGAAGCCATGCAAAATCCTCGGACGTCAACGGGTCCAAGACCTCTATGTTGAACTCATGCGTCGAATCCCTTGAAGAACCACTTGAAGACGATCTATTGTTGTTGTTGCCGGACGGAGAAGAAGCCTCACACACATCTTGTCCTTAAGCTTGAGAACCCAACGAAGGAACGAGCCTCATAAGAATACAAGAGAGGACTGTCGACTTCCGCATGTGCCTTGGAATGAAGAGAGGTCGCTCGCGAAGCAACCGATTCCGAAGGCGTCAAGAGTGCAACCGCATCACTCTCAGCGGTGCTCACTTTCCCGAAAGCGATTTGCCTTGGATCGGTGTGGGGCACGTTGCGGTGTCGTGCACCGCGCTGTTGCACCACAAGCAGTATCGATACTTAGTACGGATGCGGTACACGCCTTCCGAGATACCGTAATGTGTCCAAGGCTCTTGAGCCGTTGGTCCGGCCTCGGGGGCTGAATTGGTGTGTGTCTTCGGTTTGCCGCGTCCTCGCCCTTTGGCGGGGCGGCCACCATCCCGGGCGGCTGCCAATCTGTCTCCTTCCTCAGAGGAGGCAGCCTCGTTTGAAGGGTTGGTCGCTGTAGTTGCTGCGACCACGGCCACTTTCGGCCGATGCTGTCCTCTGCCCTGGCCTGCAGCAGACGAATCGCCCAAATTCTTGGCTTCGATGTTCGTCAGGATGATCTGCGAGGCTTTATCAAAAAGCTGGTCACTTGTGGTGAGCATCTCCGCAACTTGTGTTAAGGCGTTCTGCAACGCCGGGCAGCTCCTCCTGATGAAGAAGTTCTTGATAGCGACAAATGTCGACGGCAAGTTGGGCGTGGATGCCAAGCGTTGGTACTCGGTGATCGAGTTCGTGCTTGGCAGTCGTTCTGATAGAACCGTTGAAGTTTCTCGACTACCTGAAGCTCGGGCGGCTCTACTTGGAACCGCTTATGCCATGCTGCCTTGAGATCAGCCCAGCTGATCTTTGTATGCAGCTTGGAGACTGCGACGTTGTGCATGGACAAAGTGTTGTCCAGCCATGCCTGGCACGGGCCTCCCGAGCGGGAGTATAAGTAGGCGTGCTGGTTCGGGTTGATGACGTGGTGAATGTCCAACTTCAGCTCAAACTGGCTCCACCATGGGATCGGGTCCGTCTTCATTGCATCGCAGAAGATCGGGAGGCCGTCAAACTTTGGGATGCTCTCGCGATTAGTCGCGGTCGGACTGGCTGCGGCCGCGCAAATCTGCTGGTCAATCTGCTGATTTGTCGTTAGAGCGCCGTCCTTGAGAGTCTTGACGTCGCGGTCCGTCAAGTTGGAGGGTCTGGCTGCTGCAAGCTGCTGTTCCAGCCGACGTACCCGGTCAAGCAGTTCATCAATAATTTGAATCTGCTTCCGGACCAGGGTGTCTATGCAGAGGATGTCCTCTTGTTGTGCTGCACTGGTGGCGACCAAGCCGCTCACATGTTCGATTGTGGTTGCAAGGCCACGCACAGCAGAGGTGGCACCCTCCTCTTCATCAGCCACTGACCATTCGCCGATGATCACCTCGATATCACCCTTGCGAGCTTGTCTCGGCGTAGTCGACGGCGTTCGTCTGCGGCCTTCGTTGCTGCCTCAGCGTCCGCCTGTCGCTGCTGTTTAGCGAGGCGACGCTGTTCCTCTGCTTCCTCATCTTCCTTTTTAGGTGCGGATGTTGCCGCAGCTGCCCGTTGCTTGTACTCTGCTACCATGTCCAGCGTGCGGGCCTCATAGGCCTCGGTAGTCTCGCCTGGCTGCTGCTCCATGCTGCTTGTCTTTGAGCGGGTGAGCACCATGCACTGACGTGACCTGCTGCTGCGGTGACTGGTTGCTGACGTGGCACTGCTGCCATGTCCTGGTGACGTGGCCTGTTGACGTGGCAACTTACCAATGCCGCCGCAGGGGATACCCGGAGGCAGATAGAGAAGACCAGAAGGGGCAACAACATAGGTGGGGAGGGGTGCGATAAATCGCCCAGATAAGTTGCCCCTATCAGAAGGGGCACTAATCAAAATTTTGAACTTACCTGGTAAGTTGCCCCTATCAGAAGGGGCGATAATTTTTTTTCCACTGCATCAGCAGACTACGAGAGAAAGAAAGAGAGAGAGAGCTTGGTGACATTGGACCCAGACTCGACTTATCTGGGCGATTTATCGCACCCCTCCCCACCTATGTTGTTGCCCCTTCTGGTCTTCTCTATCTGCCTCCAGGTATCCCCTGCGGCGGCATTGGTAACAGTCTGGGTCCAATGTCACCAAGCTCTCTCTCTCTTTCTTTCTCTCGTAGTCTGCTGATGCAGTGCAAAAAAATTTATCGCCCCTTCTGATAGGGGCAACTTACCAGGTAAGTTCAAAATTTTGATTAGTGCCCCTTTTGATAGGGGCAACTTATCTGGGCGATTTATCGCACCCCTCCCCACCTATGTTGTTGCTCCTTCTGGTCTTCTCTATCTGCCTCCGGGTATCCCCTGCGGCGGCATTGGTAAGTTGCCGGGGGCAACTTACCAGGTAAGTTCAAAATTTTGATTAGTGCCCCTTCTGATAGGGGCAACTTATCTGGGCGATTTATCGCACCCCTCCCCACCTATGTTGTTGCCCCTTCTGGTCTTCTCTATCTGCCGCCGCAGGGGATATGGTGCTCACCCGCTCAAAGACAAGCGGCATGGAGCAGCAGCCAGGCGAGACTACCGAGGCCTATGAGGCCCGCACGCTGGACATGGTAGCAGAGTACAAGCAACGGGCAGCTGCAGCAACATCCGCACCTAAAAAGGAAGATGAGGAAGCAGAGGAACAGCATCGCCTCGCTGAACAGCAGCGACAGGCGGACGTTGAGGCAGCAACGAAGGCCGCAGACGAACGCCGTCGACTACGCCGAGACAAGCTCCTCGAATGCAAGGGTGATATCGAGGTGATCGTCGGCGAATGGTCAGTGGCTGCTGAAGAGGAGGGTGCCACCTCTGCTGTGCATGGCCTTGCAACCACAATCGAACATGTGAGCGACTTGGTCGCCACTGGTGCAGCACAGCAAGAGGACATCCTCTGCATAGACACCCTGGTCCGGAAGCAGATTCGAATTATTGATGAACTGCTTGACCGGGTACGTCGGCTGGAACAGCAGCTTGCAGCAGCCGGACCCTCTTAACTTGACGGACCGCGTCAACGTCTTGGAAATCGACGTTGAGACTCTCAAGGACGGCGCTCTAACGACAAATCAGCGGATTGACCAGCAGATTTGCGCGGCCGCAGCCAGTCCGACCGCGACTAATCGGGAGAGCATCCCGAAGTTTGACGGCCTCCCGATCTTCTGCGATGCAACGAAGACGGACCCGATCCCATGGTGGCGCCAGTTTGAGCTGAAGTTGGACATTCACCACGTCATCAACCCGAACCAGCACGCCTACTTATACTCCCGCTCGGGAGGCGCGTGCCAGGCATGGCTGGACAACACGTTGTCCACGCTGGGCAACACGTTGTCCACGCTGGGGAGGGCAACTTACCAATAGAGAAGACCAGAAGGGGCACTAATCAAAAAGGAAAAGTTTGAACTTTGCAAAAAAATTCGAGAAAGAGAAAAAAATACTCGTTTGCAAGTTCAGTAGGCCCCCCGAATCCCCTGAAGTGCGAAATTATCAATGAGAAAAAATTTTGAACTTTCAGACCGCAAATGATTTTCTGATAAAAGAATTCTGAAAATGAAGTACAGAAAAAAATTCGAAATCGAAATTTTCGGAAAAGAAGATATTCCGGATTTTCAACAACGAAATTTTGAATTTTCAGAAGAAAAACGAAATCGAAAATTTCAGATGTTGCGCTATTGCTATTTTCCACAACAGAACTAGTGAGAAAACAAAATCCAAGAAAAGAAAAAAACTTTCAATTTTCGGCAGTGAGGTCAAAATCGTGATTTTGGGGGCTAACTAGTGTGCTCTAATCAATCAGTCAAGACTAATCAGCTACTCAGTCCCCGCACACATGTCGGATCAGGTTGTCCTGATTCACGTGCGGTGTTCCGATACCAACTGTTACATGCCCAGATGGGCGATGTACATAATAGCCAAGGATCCGCAATGTGATGAAAAGGACTGAATGGACAATGCAGTGCAAGTGAAATCTCAACTAGCAGTGTACATTCTGATACATACAAAACGGTGCTTTACAGCCCAGTGGAAGACTTAGATACAAGTCCTGACCTGACCGGGACTGACCTCTCTCACGTAGTACAAGATAGCGAAGCAGAATGCTAGAATACTAATGACTAGCCCAATCAATGTTTCAAGGCAGATCAAACATACATCATGCTCATCACAAGGTGTGAAGGGGCCTGGTGCTATACAGAGGAAGGAAGCGCCAGGTCCAGACATACACAGACGAAGAGGAGGGGATCAGACGAAGAAGAGGGGGAGAGATGGAAATGTCGTCAACACCAAGTCTTTGTCACAAGTCCCAAATAATCCCTCGTCAAAATTTCTGAAACCCAAAAGTCGAGTCTGGGTCCAATGTCACCAAGCTCTCTCTCTCTTTCTCTCGTAGTCTGCTGATGCAGTGAAGTCAGATATTGAGAGGGTGAGAGTGAGATGGTGGACTGAGAAGAGGAAGAAGAAGAACTCTCTCTCTCTCTCGTATGCCAGGTACTAACCTGTGAAGATGGCGTTGTGCTGCAGGTACCTCGAAGACGAAGCTGGAGCAGCGGCGCTGCAGGTAAGTATCCCCGGCCTCCGCCCAACCTCTCTCTCTCTTTAGTACTACTCTAGCTATGGCGCCCAGCGCTGAAGACTACAGCTAACGCTACTAGCGCCCAGCGCTGAAGACTAATGCTAACACTACTACTACTCCTGCAGCGCTCCTCCCGAGTGCTGCTGCCGAATCCTGAAGACTACTGACTGCCTCCTGCCTGCCCGTGAAGTGGATGGGAAGTCCCTATGTACTACCTCGGCCTGCCTCCTGACTGCCTCCGACTGCCTGCAGTTGGAGGGCGGGCAGTCCAGGAGGCTGCTCTTGCCAATGCCATGCTGAGCCAGGTGCTGGCGCTGCAGCTGTCGTGGGAACAAGCCAAAAATAGGCTGTTCCTAAAACCCTGGTTTGGTGCCTGAGTTTCGGGGCAGGTCGGTCTGATGAGGGCCCGAAAATGGCCCTCAGTTTCAGGCTAAAAAGGCTCATGCCGTTTTTAGTCTGAAACGACACAGGGCCTGTAGGCCCCTGTTTCCAGCTTTTCGAGCTGAACAGACACGGGGCCTGTAGGCCCTAAATTTCAGGCTTTCGGCCTGAAATTCAGGCTTTTAGCCTGAAGGACGCAGGGCCTGGAAAATGGCCCTCCTGTGCAGGCGCAGCATGTAACAGAGGGTCTCAAAGGCCAAGCCCTGGAAAATCTTCCAACTGGATCTCAGCATTTCAGACCTCGAATTCGACCCGAAAGAGTGGGTCTAGAAGCAGGGTAAGTCCGGGAGAACAAGGACAATATTTGAATATGATCGTTATGATGTTAAATTCGGTTATGACTTGGGCTTACAGACCACAGATCCGGACCTCAGACTCAAAGGAAATGGATGGAGATCCTAAATCTAGACCCCATTTCCATCCCTTGGACACAGTACCTGGCTAGTAGACCGGTTAGGATCCGAAGCATGCAGTGGCTCGTAGCGCACGCATCTCTGCTGGTCAATCAATGGCTCCATAAGAGGAGGAAGTATACGGACCCTGACAGCTCCAAATTATGCAGGCTGTGCACAGACAACATCCCTGAAGATAAAGCCCACTGCCTCCTGTATTGCACTGAAGCAGCATGGATTTGGAACAAGGTACACGACCTATGGTCCCTCCTCTTCTCATCACCCCCTCCGTCCTCAACTCCTCTGAACATCCTGCTCCTATCCAGCAGTATTAACAATCTCAAAGGTGGCAAGGAAGTCTGGTTTCACCTGCTCAGGAAGCTGGCGCTATGGGTATTCTGGAAAAGGAGGTGTACCAAGACTATTGAGGGTACAGAGGTGGCAAGGGAGGAAATGTGGGTTCTACTGCTGGGAATGGCGGAAACTGATATTTGATCCAGATGGATGGAGGTGACATATACAATGAAAGTCAGACCAGAAAGACTACCCATCAAGAGACGGTCTTTCGAGAGAAACTGGCTTCTACAGGGAAAAATTGCAACTGTGGCAGATAACAGAGATTGATTTGGAAGAAATGGCACAGTGCAAATCCAGCAAGGATCATGACCCAGTGATGGGCAAACTGAGATTACAATCTCAACAATATAGACAGCTCTCCTCTTTTCTTGCTTTACACGAATCATCTGACAGAGCCACTGTAAATTCTGAGAGGAAAAGTGCTAGGGCAAGCTGACAGTCAATCGTCCGGCTCTGCAGCAATCAATGCTGGTCAGGGTTCCTTTGGCCAGACAGAAGGAAGCGTGAGAGTGTTCACCATGTATTCCAACTCTTGACTTGCCAGTGGAGAGGAACCGGACTGACGCTCCCCAGAATGGATATGGAGCCAGGACCATAAGGATTTGTTTCAACTGAAAAAAAAAAAAAGAAAATAAGGAGAAGAATGCTAGGAACTTAGTAGGAAGATTGTCACGACCGGGCGGACACCCGGGCGTGCCAAAAGAAAAAAGAAAAAAGAAAAAAAACAGGGTTTTCTGCACTCTCCCAGAGAACCCCAAATGCGGTCCCTTTTCTTTTTTTTGAGAGCTGGCAAACCAATAGTACCTCCACCAGTGTTGGGAAAACAGGTAAAAGTGGCAGTTTTCCCAAACTCCAAAAAGTTCGGAGCCGGGGCCCGACGATGGCTGCCATTGATAAATCTGATCGGTGGCTGTCGTTTCATTTCGGGCTCTGAAAAGGTCGGACTCCCACCCGAGGCCCGCTATTTTCCCACGTGCAAAGGTACTAGTGGTGCCTTAGTGTGATTCTGTCATTTCCTTTGCTCTCTCTGATTCTGTGAGGAATTCTGATGTGCACTCAGCCGTCTGTCTCTTAAAGAAAAAGAGAAACTCGTTTGTATCTAGGCTACCACAGGGCCCGGCACCACTTGCACTGCTGGGGCCAAAAAAAAAAAAAAAAAAAAAAAAAATGATAAAGAATTTTGATGTGACCCTTGGGCAAAAGTTGTTCAGTTTATGCATAGCACAATATTTTTTCAGTTTTTTTCTGGGTGGGGTTCCGGGCCACCCGGCGGACCGGCGGGGGCCTGGGTGGGGTCCCGGGCGGCCTGGCCGGGCAGTGCACCCAGTCGGTCCCCGGCCCCCCCCAGCGCACAGGGCATTTCGGGGTTTTCAGACCCCATTTCGAACGGTTGTGGGCTCCCGCAGGCCTACCGGGTCCGACCGGCCCGAAAATCCGCGCCATCGGGCCCGATAGGCCTGCGGGAGTGGGTTTGAAAATTGCGGCGGGTCTGTGGCCGTCGATCCGCCTTGATCGACGGCCACAGAGCCGTCGCAATTTTCCCGCCCAGATTTGATTGGTGGCGATCTTGCCCGCAGCCCGTGGGTGTTCGCTGAAGCTGCCCCCTTCGACCCACAGCCTTTTGAAGTTGCGCCGGCCGTTGCTGCTCACTTGAGCTGCCCCCTTCGCCCGTCATTCATCGTCGCCGTTCGCAGGATCTCGTCTTCCTCGCTCGCCACCCGTCGTCGTCGTCAGCTGGAGCCAGTCGTCGTCGCCCGTCGCCGTTTGCAGGAGCTGCCCCCTTCGCCCGTCGCCGTTTGCAGGAGCTGCCGCCATTCTTCTTCTTCTTCTTCTTCTTCTTCTTCTTCTTCTTCTTCTTCTTCGTCGTCGTCGTCGTCGTCGTCGTCGTCGTCTTCCCCTTTGTCCCCCCCTCCTCTTCTTCTTCTTCTTCTTCTTCTTCTTCTTCTTCTTCTTCTTCTTCTTCTTGCATCAGTCGACCTTCGACAGTTAACGGCGATCTTTATCTTCTTCGGCCTTTTGGCTGTTTGGGGCAGGGCACATCTTCGGCGACCTCAGGCAGTTGTCGCGAACGGCGAATGGAAAGAAAAAAGGCCGTCCTCCTCCCCCTCCTCCGCTCCTCTTCTTCTTCTTCTTCTTCTTCTTCTTCTTCTTCTTCTTCTTCTTCTTCGTCTTCTTGCATCAGTCGACCTTCGGCAGTTAACGGCAATCTTTATCTTCTTCGGCCTTTTGGCTGTTTGGGGCAGGACACATCTTAGGCGATCTTAGGCAGTTGTCGCGAAAGGCGAACGGATAAAAAAAAGGCCGTTCTCCTCCCCCTCCTCCGCTCCTCTTCTTCTTCTTCTTCTTCTTCTTCTTCTTCTTCTTCTTCTTCTTCTTCTTCTTCCTTCT